TAACGTGTTGCTCGTTTTAGTTTTCGCTCAGCCTATCGTTGGAATGCACGCGCGATTCGGCCCAGTCGAGTGTGCACGTTCTACGGCAGAAGGCGAGGCGATCGATTTTTCTACGTTTCTCCTATCGTCTGGCGCGCACCGTGCACGCGATCCCGAAGCGACAGATCGGCTTTCAGACCGCCGCGATTTCTACGAATCCTCCCTCTGGATCCCCCGGCAGGGACGATCGAGCGGATCGGTTTCGTGAAAGGGAGTACCTTGGCTTTGGTGAAACGACTCCGTCGCGCGGAGAAGAAACTCCAGAGAACCGAGATTCGTTTCCCCTTCGAAGATCTACGAACACTCTCGATCTCACTGTAATGCAAATTCATCGCATTGTAGATTCTTGCTTTCCCCCCCCTAGCCAGAGGATTTTCTAAATCGAAAACGCGGGGATGGTAGTTAGAATTTGACGAAATAATTCGTTTCCTACAAATTCGTGTTAATTAACAAAATGAGCATTGGATAAACGACACTCCAACGTATTGATTAACAAATAAATAAAGAAATTAGACTTCGTTAAATTAATTTAATTATGTTTCTATACACTGTAACGGATTTTGTTTCGAAAGTTACAAACAACCACCTGCTATTGGTAGTTAAGCTAATTGTGTATTCTTGCCTCGAACTTGAACATGCAATAGACATCGCAGGTACCTCGGGATCAAGTTTAAGAACTTTGCAATATGCTAGAACGGACACCAGTTAAATTGCTACCGCATTACACGTAACATTTCGAAAGGCAATAATTTACGATGATTCCCTCGTCAACTCAACCGTTGCTGAAACATGCGATCTGTCGCCACGCACGTGTTGCGTTTTATACGCTGGCAGAGAGTTCTCGATCGAACGCAGATATTTGATTTAGGAACGTTTCTCGTTGGAATAATTTTGGTGTAAAATATTTTTGCATTTGTTTGAAATATATAGAATTAGCTAGAACGAGACATTCTTCGACATCTTTACATAACCTCGAATATTTGCGTTTGATCGAAGACTGTTCGTCTACCAAAGAACTTTGATTTTTAAATGCGTGCTATTTCTCTCTATTTCCACTTCGTTTTCGTGCTATTTCTCTCTATTTCCACTTCCTTTTCGAATTGAATTTTCGAACTGGAACCTGGAAGAATCGTCCGCCATCTTGTTCTGTCTAACAGGGAACACACGAATGTTCGAATGTATCAATTGTCGAAGCTTCGAGTTCTTATTATGCAAATTCATACGTAGAAAGTATATCTTGGACGAAGTCAGATTTGATTGCGTTGATTGAATTATTAATTAATGTTCGTTATGCGCTTGACTACCAGACAAGATTGGTAGAAGTAAGTCTATCGAGTTTATCGGGTGTAATACTGCAACTTTGGAAAGCCTGATACTACTTGATACAGCAATCAAGATTTTAATTGTGATTGATTGTAGACCGATAGAACGATGCTTTTGAACGTGAGCGAGTGAACCGATTCTCGTGACGAGAAATTGCATTATGACAATTGCGGATAGTTTCGTTCGATCTATCAAGAAGATGTTGTACACTTGAAATGGAAATCAAGATGAACAAGTTTCAGTTTATCGAGACGATAATATTTCGTACTGTGTTTATACGCTCACTTTTATATACTTGCATTAGAACTTCGAGAAGAAGTTGAAAGAAAAATACTAATTTTCAGCATTTAAGATCACAAGTTTCAGAGCACGATATTTTTTTTGCACTCTGTCAAAATTAACAGAATCAATTTTCCCAAAGCAGTGTCCTACAATTAACCGCACAGAGTCTTCAAAGACACGGAAAAATGTCTCTGCCACGCCAATTTGAGGAGTATCTGCTCTTCTCTCCAACTGTTGTCTCCGGTAGCAACCGTGTGCAAAAAGTGACAGAGGCATCGTCCGAGAGACGGATCTCAGACGCTAGAGACGAGTGAAACGAACCGAACCACCTCGTATTACGACGATGATCTTGATCTTGGCCGTTCACCCGGCCAAGTCCGCAGCTTTCATTAAAAAGACCACAGAACGCGCGGTGGCGGCCGCGACAGTTAAGAAGAAGAAGACAGCGAGATAGATCGGAACGGGTCGGAACGGATTGGAACTCTGGCATTGG